TTATTATTATTAATTGAGTGAACAATTACTTGCATTGCTTTGACTTTCTTTTATTAACTGCTACAATACTGTACACCACAGGGGGGAGCTAGAGCTTTGTGTACATGATCTACACACTTCTTGAGAAAAGCCTGCAGTCGATTTATTATCATTTTAGTTCACACTTGAAGATTTCACTGCCAAAACAGTGCATAAATTTCAGAGTGGACATGACCTGCATTTAAAGAATTTAATTTTCTGATGATTTTGAGGAAGTGTTTCACTTTCAGACGAGTTGCTAGCACAACAGGAGCTGTAAGACTTTGTTAAATCACTAAAAGTGTCTGTAGACACAGACTTGCTAATTGGCGAAGAGCTGACTTCGCCCAGCTAAGTGCAAACAAAAGACATAACTAAGCCCTTGGTACCCACAATGCCATTCTGCACGCTGAAGCCCAGCTGGTACTTGAGATCAGGGCGTTTGATGAGGACAGTTGTGACTGGAGGACAGCTCACAATGTTCAGCTTCACTTGTGTCTGGTTCTTCAGACCCTGGAAGATGAAAGAGAGATCACAAACATGGTATCATCTTGGATGGTTAAGCATTTACAATATGTGCAGCAGAGCAGGTTAACTTGCGAACTGTGAAAGTTTCACCTACCTTGATGATGCCCTGGCAGGTGGCTAGAGGGAGTCCCACCAGGCTGGTGCCATTGATGGACATGATCTGGTCTCCGATGCTCAGCTTGCCTGATCGTGCTGCTGGACCCCCATTCATCATGTTGGCCAATATGACGGTGGGCAAAATGGAGCCCCAGCCCGACTCCACAATTACTACACCCAGGATCTCTCCCTTCTGCTTTTCCAGCTGCAGCTGCAGGACAGGGGGACAGGTGGGATTCTGCTGTTCTCTATCACAGCTGCAGCTGTGGGACAGGTGGGATTCTGCTGTTCTCTATCACAGCTGCAGCTGTGGGACAGGGGGACAGTGGGGTCTCTGCTGTTCTCTATTAAGCTGCAGCAGTGGGACAGGGGGGTCTCTGCTGTTCTCTATTAAGCTGCAGCTGTGGGACAGGGGGACAGGTGGGTCTCTGCTGTTCTCTATCACAGCTACAGATGTGGGACAGGGGGACAGGTGGGTCTCTGCTGTTCTCTAT